CTCACTCACTCACTCACTCACACTCACTCACTCACTCACTCACTCTCACTCACTCACTCACTCACTCACTCTCACTCACTCACTCACTCACTCACTCTCACTCACTCACTCACTCACTCACTCTCACTCACTCACTCACTCACACTCACTCACTCACTCACTCACTCACTCACACAGACACAGACACGCAGAGAGAGATAGATGCATGCCACAGGAATGTTGTTAAAGTGAAATTTGACATGCTAGGTTTAAACATTTTTTGTTTGTTTAATGTTTTGAAGTCAATATAACAGATAGCATTTTGTGAAAGTAGCATCTCTGATTTAAAGTTTGTTAGCAAAGATGGCTTTAGTCTTGGTAAGTTTGATTCATTTTCCTGTGCACAAATGCATCATGGGCTGAGCGAAAGGCATTTCCATCACTGACACTTTCATGTATTCAGAATAAAGACTACAGTGATCGCTTACATGCATGTATCGGCTTATTACAGGGTTTTTGTGTGAACATTCTCCATGTGGACGTACTCTGTTGTGACACTGACTTGCAACCAAATAATCTCTTTATAATCGCATTGATGGCTCAGCCAGATTGAAAAGCCCTTATATAAACATTGATTGAAGTCAAATGAAGTCAGATTGAAACAGCTGATGTAGACCTGAAATAATCTGAGCAACAGGAAAAAATTAAGCATGTTAACATTTGAATATCTGATTCAAAAGTACCTTGTGTTGTGTGCCTATGTTTGCCTACAGTTTACGCATAGATTTATGTATTTGGAATGTGTGCATGTTTATTTATGTCTCACTAACTGGTCTGTGGATGAACCGAATATTTACTAAATGTTCTAAAAAAAAAAAAAAAAAAAACAGCTTTTCTGACATGCATGTCATCTTTTTCATTAGATGTCATCAAGGCAAAAACAGCAGTTATACCGGCAGTAGCTCCACTGATGACATCATTATGAGCGTTTTGTTCGCAGTACATAAATGCACATGTGATTGAATATGAGAATCAGTTTGCAGTGTTGGCTGCTTGAAACGATTCTTCCTAATTATTGAGATGTCAGAGTCATAAAATGCTGAGATGTCCAGATGCTGTGCGCTGATGTGGTGCTCCTTGGATCGGGTGTTGTTGTTGAGGTGAGTGTGTTTGTGTGGCTGCAGGATGATCCAGGAGGAGAAGGAGTGCACCGCGCTGAGAGCCGAGGAGATCGAGAGCCGCGTGGGCAGCGGAGATGATCTGGGCAGCCGCTTCCGCTCCATGACATCCCTCCAGCCCTCCTTCCACAGCTCCTCTCCGCCTGGATCCGGTCACTCCACGCCCCGCCGGCCCTCACACAGCCCCAGCAGAGAGCTGGACCGCATGGGGGTCATGACCCTGGTGAGCCGTGTGCTCCGTGAGCACGGTGTAGTAATGTGTGTGTGTGGAGTGTAGTAATGTGTGTGTGTGTGTGTGTGTGTGTGTGTGGTGTGTGTGTGTGGAGTGTTGTGATGTGTGTGTGTGTGTGTGTGTGTGTGTGGGGTGTGGTTGTGTGTGTGTGTGTGTGTGTGTGGAGTGTTGTAGTGTGTGTGTGTGGAGTGTTGTAGTGTGTGTGTGGAGTGTTGTAGTGTGTGTGTGGAGTGTAGTAGTGTGTGTGGAGTGTAGTAGTGTGTGTGGAGTGTTGTAGTGTGTGTGTGTGTGTGTGTGTGTGTG